TCGTACTAATTTCTCAATCTCCTCTCTCTGTTTCTGGATTTCGTCGGCGAGACTCGCGTTTTGCGATTGGGTGGTTTGGAGCTTGGCGTTGAGTTGGGATTGTTGGGTTGTGTAGAGGGGGGTGAGATGAGCGGCCAGGATGGAGGGCGCGGGGAGGGTGTGTGGCCTGGAGGGGGAGAGGTTAGTTTTGGGTTTTCGTTTGGGCGGGTGGGAAGAGATAGTGAGAGTGATGGTAGAGAGAAATATACAAAAGAATAAGAAAATAAAGAAAGACAGAAAGGAAGGAAGATAGAACAAGAAAGAAACACTCACGCAACCCCCACCTCCCTCCCCTCCATCTCCGCATCCACCCCCCTCGCCTTCCTCCTCCTCGCACTCTCAATCACCCCCTCCAGCCCATTCAATCGTTCCACCACTCTGCGTTCCTGCAATATCATCTCAAATTCATCGAGTGCGAATTGCCGTAATCGGGAAACCATCTGGCCGTGCACGGCTTTGAGCGCTTCAGGCGCATTGCGCGATATGGAGGGGAAACAGGAGGAGAATGCTGGATAGGAAATTGTGTGGAGAGCGGAGGCGAGTGATTTTTCATATACGGTGTAGAGGGCGTTGGCGCGCGGGCCGGGGGTGAGGGGGATGGGGGCGGATGGGGGAGGAGAGGGAGAGGGCGAGGTGCTGGGCATGGTTGGGGTCTGAGGTTGTGGTGGGGAGATTCTTGGTTGATGGTGGTTGCGGGGATGTTTGAGTTGGGAGGTATGGATGGGGGTAGATTATATAGTTGTGATTGTGATTGTGATTGTGTCGCGACGGTGAGGATTGTACTCGAGTATGGATAGGATAGATGAATGAACGATTATTTACTTTACTTTTTTTTTTGCGATTTGGTTGTCGCGACGAATTGATAGCGGAATGACGCGTTTTCGCTAGTTTTAGCGTGTGTTTTTAGCGTTGGTTCCCCTAGACATCTGCTGAATTCTAGGCGGATTTCTGTTTGATGAACTTCTCAGTAGGAATTTTCACTGTTTCTGCATGATTTGAAGAATGTTGAGCCAATATTTCCAGATTGGATTCATTCTGTGGCATCTTTTTGTGTTAAGAATCATTTATTTAAGGTGTAATTTACCATTGAAGTTGATTGGGTAGCGCGAGTAACACACCTGATCGTTCATCAAATCCGTGTGATCTTGATGATGCAAATGGGAAGAGCACAACACACTCATAATCAACCACCCATGTCTAATGAAATACTGTGCTTCAAAGGTCTGGACGACAGAAATCAAAATGACTAAGTGGCGTTTGGATACTAAAACCTTTTTCTTGTCAATTTTGGGACGGTGACAATCCATTGTAAGGTTATCTATGTAGCATTCGTACAGCAGCCAAAATAAGTTTCATGTTTATCTAGCAGCAGTTTGCGGGACTACAAGTCATTCGTGGGTTTGGCCATTTCTTATCAGTTCCCAATAAAGCTCACGCATTAGTGTCAACCTTGAGCAGATATTAGCATACGATTTCCCTCACAAGTATAAGAAAGTGCCAAGAGTGCCAATTATGATTTACAGGCAGTTCAAGTCATGACGGGGTGGATTTGGGTATTATTTCTTTCTGGGTAAAGATTGCATTATGGACTGAATTGCGAGTTTTACCCCACCATTAGGATCGAAATTGTACTTAACTTATGACAATGAACCTATTATTGCGAGAGACATCGCCAATGCCTCACATTCGCATTCTCCGGAACGATTCATGATGTGGAACCGTGTCGAGCCTCCCAGTTCTAAAGTAGTAGGCATGACTTTGCAATGCACGGTGGTTTTCAAAAATGATACGTACTATGTGGTTGCAGACGAACGGGCGTTGGAGACAGGAATGATATTGTTTACTGAATTCGAGAATAATGGTGCTCTTAGAAATCGTATGCGCGTTAATATTCTTATTCTTTGATACTTATTACTTGATCAGTACATTGAGGTTGGTAAAAAGTCTTGAAGAGTTGACATCAAATTATGACTGCGAGGACGAAGATGAGGGAGTGGTTGGGATAGAGTGAGAAAGTTTATTGTTGTTTTTTCACTCACTGCTTTGCTGGGTTTGTGGAAGAATACAAATGTACGAACCTATCTTAGATATCTTTGAGCAAACAGTTGTTTTAACACTTCCGGTTTGATGGAAACTTGATAAGTCGATATGGAAACGAACGATTGAATGTTTTGCGTTTGGATGTCTTGATGCAGAGGCTGCTGAAAACAAACTTGTGGTCGAATATGATTACACGAAATTCGTGCAGATATGATTATGGAGAAATTGGGGGAAGCTTTCCTCAATAGAACAATAAGAAACACGAAATGAAAGTGAATCAAGCACGGATTACTGCCTTGCCTGTTGCGATAGCAGCACAACTTTCGGAACATACACCATTCTAACTATCTTCTTGGACGGAACTTGTGAGGAGTCAACAGTATATACTTGTACGGGCTCAAATTTCGGCTCATGTTGTAGTATTTATGGAGATTGGTAACTTGATTTTGAATACCAGTAGGATATTTCAGCTAGAATGCGTTTTGGAATGCAGGCATTGATATTGATATTCATCTAGTGGCTCTACGATTGATTATCGCAGTACATTTTGCGATACAACAGGACAATTCGGATCTTGTAGTGATATTATAGATATTTTGTTTGGGATTTGGGAATGTTTCGAATTTCTAATAGAACGGGGAGAACAGGATGATTTATCCAATAAAGGTCTTCCAAATGGCTCCTGCAATTTTTGTCCTCTCTCCTAACCCCCAATGTCTATCCTAGACTTTTCATGGTGTACATGTGATTTTTAGCCCCAGCTCTAGGGCAGTTTCAATATCAACCTAGAACTCCGTAATACAATGGTTGCACTATGATGACCCAATCCATATTTGCACCAGTGCATTTTTTGCTATCGATCCAAACTCTTGTGTATATGGCTTTTTGTTTTGACTAGAGGTCCGCGAGACTTCTCATAATAAATGTACCAATGGTGTTATCCCAGCGCCAATGCCGACATATATCAAACTAGCTTGTCCCTTCGGGGGTTTTTTAAGCAACGCATTTTCCACCATTTGATCCATGAAGACCCCCGCTACTGTATAATCTACCGCAAGCTGCTGCCACCGGGGCAAGGAACAACAGTTATAACTCGTAGTAATATTCGAGATCATATCAAGCAGGCCGACGCAATTCTCTCCGTGACGAATCATTAGCTAGTCATTGGCCAAATTCCGGTATTGCAGTCCCAACTAAGGTAGGACCTGCAATTGTTGGTATCATTATCCGTCCAGTAACTGAGTCAAAACTCGCTCTCTGTAGTTGGGTTGTAACAATTTATCCATCAACAAGAGTTGCGAATCAATCTTTTTGGAAATCCGGCGCATGCGATTCCAATGAGATTTGCCATAAAACCGCTTGTAGTATTGCAACGATCCTGCGTCGTCTACATGATGAATAATGAGACATAGCTCACATACAACATGATTGGATAAATGATTCGCGAGAAGTTCTAAGAAATGTAACTTTTGATATGGTTGAGTATTCAGATGCTGGAGATATTGATTTCTCATTCGTTTTTTGATGTGCGGACTACTTATCGAAAAGGCGGCAGCGGATGAGATGGGTACTCGGTCGAGAATATCAAGCAGGATGTCCATAGGTAATTCCTCTATCTTGGACAACTTCAAAGCGTTTTTGACTGTAAATAAAAGACTGGTCAAACGCCATTTTTCGATTATTGTCAGGCTGCGTGCGGGGGGTATACTCCGCGAAATTATGATATCGAGGCGGTCCAACAATGTTTTGAGAAAGGGAATAAGCAATTCAATTGCCAATATGAAGTATTGATATCGAGGAGAATGTATCAAATGACGCTGTAATTGGCAAATACAAGAAGTATTATCATACGTAGACATTATGATTTTTTTTTCTCGATAAATGGTACACGAATGAACGGATGTGATCTTATATTTATATGGGAGGGAAATTTTCAACAAAGCTTGTAACAAATTGACTTTGTCGCTAGAAAGGTCAAGAGTTGGGATCTCTACCAACTTAAATAATCACAAGTGATTGCTATCAGATTTACTATGACGTCTGAAGTACTTGCAGTCTTGCACTATGATTTGGAGTTAGTCCATTACTCTTCCTTCAACTAAGCAGACTAGTGTAGTGATTGACGCCTTGAGAACCCTCTCATACCTAGTCAATATTGAGCAATACCGTAAAGTGAAATCAGAGGTAAAAAAAATGCATGATCTATCACCACCGCACTTGGGGCAGTGAACTCTCATATAAATCAACAGAAGAATGAATTGGACACTTCTAATTGGGCATGTTTCAATTCGAAAAGTCAGGTCGCTTTGTTCACGACTCGTACTTTTAGGTTCACACGTAATTCGTATATAAGCTTCTGGGCCAAGGGATCACGCACTTGACATTCTTCCCGTACTTCAATCTGATTAAGTCAAGTCAACGAGTCTGTGCGGTTGAAGACTTTAGGTGGATGGCTGAAGATCTGAATTGAAAATACAACATGGCAGGGCGTCAGAAAGCTTAACAACTAGTAGAAAGGTAGGCCGTGCAATGATTCTCATGATTGTTTGAATTTTGTGAGTGTAATATTGTTCTTGACAGGAACGATGTTGATACGATCAAAAATCAATAAGCGCTGAGTTTTATCAGTCACGTGCCTGTGCTGTCCTAGCCGAAGAATCCCCGATGAGTGCACTGCCAAGGTTGGGGTGCATTAGTGCGAAATGCTTCCTCACTTCTCCGGTTAATGTTTTGAAAGTCGCGAGAATAAACCACCTCACAACATTTATACATCTATATTTTAACATACAATTCAAATGTTATATTCTCTGTATTTGATGTAAATCTCAGCAAGTCTGAGCCTCTGGTTGAAACAAGCAGTGAACATGAATCGTCTTCTATCATCCATTTCTCAAGCTTGTAAATACTCCGTCCCTGCGACAATGCCAGCCAATGCTTCAACATTACGCCAGAACTTAGCCAAAACTCTATATGGTAGATCCTCAATGCTGCGAAGACGATTCATCTCAAATTCGGCTCATCCTCCCGACAAGAAGGCTGTTCCTTCTTCCACTTTCAGCAAGTCAACAGTGTTCTTATGTTCCCTCGCATCTGCAACTGTATCACTGTGTTTTGGATATGGCTTTATGTCATACCAAGGTATAGTTGACCCAAAAGTCTTCGGGTCTTCCATAAAGTATGCAGAACCAACTGTCATGCTTCAAGTAAGTCTTGGAGGAAGGAATTGTGTCTATCACGTGGTCAATATTTAACTAAGATCTAAAACAGGCCATTCAGGAAATCGCCAACGAATTAGGCGATGATTCAATTAGTTATGAAGAAGAAGAACTATTGAGGCATTCTTATTCGGAATGGTCAACTTCAAACTCGGAGAAAAGACCTCTTGCGGTTGTCTATCCGAAAGACACAGATGATGTCGTCAAAATTGCAAAGATTTGTTCCAGGTATAAAGTTCCAATGGGTGAGTTTTTATGGAAAGCCCCGTGGCCTCCACCAGACTAACTGGTTGATAATAGTACCATTTGGTGCGGGTTCAAGTGTGGAGGGTCATATTTCCACTCCTTGCTCGGGATTAAGTATTGACTTTGTCAAGATGGATAAAATTGTTCAATTTCATCCAGACGAGTAGGTCTAACTGCTATTATTATGGAACTACGTTGACTCGGAAAAGTATGGATGTTGTCGTACAGCCAGCTGTGAATTGGGTGAATCTTAATGAGCAAATCAAGGACACCGGACTTTTCCTTCCATTGGATCCTAGTCCAACGGTATGTTATGTTAAGGAAAGGAGTGTGTCGACTTCTTGAACTTGTCTTCTAATATTTTTAGGCTCATATTGGAGGAATGGTTTCTACAAATTGCAGGTACTATCGTCCGCTCCTAACCTCTCCTGGCAGCTCTCATATTTGTTAGTGGTACCAATGCAATGAGGTATGGCACCATGAAAGACTGGGTCATTAACCTGACTGTTGTTTTGGCCGATGGAACAGTAATAAAAACTCGAAGAAGGCCACGGTATGTTTCCATCTTTTGATTTGCTTTTTATGCACCATACGCTCTAACAGTAAGATAGTAAAACTTCCGCAGGTTACAATTTGACTTCTCTCTTCGTAGGAGCAGAGGGAACTTTAGGGTTGATTACAGAAATTACTCTCAAGCTGGCTGTAGTTCCCGATTCGACTAGTGTTGCGGTGGTTACATTTCCTTCTGTAGCAGATGCTGCAACAGCTGCTTCGAAAATCATTAGGACAGGAATACCTTTAGCGGCCATGGAAGTTATGGATGAAGTTCAGATGCAGGTCATCAATAAGAATGGAGGCACTGGAGGAAGGATGTGGGAAGAGCGACCGACATTATTTTTCAAGTAGCTATCTTTTGACTACTATATCCGCTCCATTGTCGTACTGATGAAAATAGGTTTTCTGGTACAGAGCAGGCAATAAAGGACCACATCCAGCGAGTGCAGACAATAGCCAAGCGATGGAAAGGCGGAGAATTTCAGTTCGCTCGAACAGAAGAAGATAAGACTGTTCTATGGTCCGCGAGAAAAGAAGCTCTATGGGCAATGCTAGCACAACGGCCACCAGGTACAGAAATATGGAGTACAGATTGTGCAGTACCTATGTCAAGATTAGCTGAGATTATAGGTGGGTTATTGTTTCTATTGAAGTTCACCTATCCACTCAAACTAAAAAATTGTAGATATTTCGAAAGCAGAATCAGGAAAACTCGGATTATTTTCCAGTGTACTTGGCCATGTAGGAGATGGAAACTTTCATCAAGCTGTTATGTATAACCCTAAAGATCCAGTTGAGACAGCTGCTGTCAAGAAATGCGTGTACGATATGCTTGACAGAGCATTGGAAATGGAAGGAACAAGTTCTGTTCGTACCTTTGCTTTATCACATATGCGCTCGATTGCTAATTTTCTATAGGGCGAGCATGGAATAGGGCTTGGTAAGAAGGTGAGTAACGAGAATTTGGGGTTTCGGTTGATCTGTATAGCAGCAGCGAAACCTCAAATTCCCAAAAAGATTCAATTATGAGCCAATGGCTGAAGACTATTAGGATTGCTTGATGAAGGAACTTGGCCTCGATACAATCACTGTCATGAAAAAACTCAAGCATTCTCTTGATCCAAAGTATTTTCCCAACATACATTCAAGAAGAGGGGAAGCTAATTCAAAGCAAATTAGTTGGCTATTGAATCCAGGAAAGATATTCGATAAGCCATGAGCCTCACAGGTCGAATTTTAAATTTAGATGCTTGAAACTCTCGTCCTAAGTATTTCAAGCGACTCTCGTTCTGCCAAGCTTTGAATATAGTAGGACAACATTGGTACATTAAGCAAAATACAAGCAACTTCAAAAACGTCGATAGAGATGCATTTTTCATCTACACTGCTGTTTATCGCTCAAGGTGATGGCAAAAATCTCCCATCTACGGCAGCGCAATCTCATCTCAGGAATTCCTTTTCTACCTTAAACTTTCTGCAATCATTACCTCCGCAATCACAACATGAATTTTCCACTTCCCCCACTAGCCCCACATCCGTTCTCGGATCGGATACCCCGATTCCTCCTAGTTCCCACTGCAACCCCTCTTTGCCCACCTCCCTGGTGAATATTCGCACTGACAATATAATAAGAAACACAGCCGAAGAGAGCAGATCAATAGGACCGCTGGCGCAACGGTAGCGCGTTCGACTCCAGATCGAAAGGTTATCCGTTCAAATCGGGTGTGGTTCAAAACCTCCATTGATCATAGTTTTGCTCTTTTGCTTCTTGTGCCTATTGTATCATCAACTTTCAGTTGTATTCCTTCTTAATGTTTTTGCATCACTTGGAAAATGGATATAAATCTGCGAGGTTCAGCATGTGCTTTAAATTTGGGACTGATTACCAAATTCTATCGAGCATCATTTTGGGATTCGTTCGTGAAACTTTGATATGTGGGGTTTGATCACATTTTTGAAATCCCCAGATCTGCTGACTTGCGAAATTCTACGATATATGTTTGACTTTGACTCCGAACAATTCTGAAGCGAGAAACTCCATAAAGGGGCAGTGAGAGATTCGGGAGAAGTATTCGGTATAATGCATATGTACAAAATGGTGGAAAAGACATTATCCGATAACTTCAACCGGGGATTGGTTACCCGACAGTGTCTGTGTCTGAACGCTGGCTGGACAGAAGAGTCAAGACAAATATCGAGGACTAATTTGAATTGAATGATAGATATATATACTCTATCTTCCCCTTTCGACTCACATCTATACATCTTCTTTTTTGTTGAATTAATCCCATTTTTTTTATCAAGAAGTTGATGACATTCTCGCCCCTTCATCGGACCTAGATCAATAGCCGACGCTTAACTCCCCGGCTTCAAATCAATTGCCGATTTCATCGTGTGAACGACATTTGCTATTTCTGACAAAAACTTCTTTTCCTCCATCAATTACACTCCATTTACTCAATCTCTCCTCATTCTGTAAAAATGTCTCTCTCCCGCCGTATTCTCACCACAACTCGCCTTCCGGGCCTCCGCATAACATCATCTATCCGTTGTCAGTGGGGTCAAAAATCACGAGATTGCAGACACTTTCAAAGCTATGCCCGACTTCTGGAAGCACCTCGAAACCCATATAAAGATGAAGAGAACGTTAGCAAAGCACCAAAGATTGTAAGAGGTGCGAGTAAAGTATATAAGAATGCTGATGAGGCTGTTGCGGATATCAAGAGTGGATCGACGATTTTAAGTGCGGGATTTGGATTGTGTGGAACGGCTGGTATGTTATTTCGTCTTTTATCTTTTTGCATGATATTTGATCTCTGCGGAAGGAGAAATGTAAAATATGTGATTCTGATATGAAAAATAGAAACAATCATTGAAGCATTAGAAAGAAGAGGACCAGAAAGTCTTCATTCCCTAACCGCCGTTTCCAACAACGCCGGAGCATCGATACCAGGTGGTCTAGGCGCCTTGACACAATCCGGTCAAGTAAATCGTTTAATTTTAAGTTTCATCGGTAGTAACAAAGTCCTCGAGAAGAAATATCTTGAGGGAAAAATCGCTATTGAATTATGTCCTCAGGGAACTATCGCTGAGAGATTGAGGGCTGGTGGGGCTGGCATCCCCGCCTTTTATACGCCTACTGGTGTTAGTAAGTATTTGCTTGATCTTTGAGGTAAGATGAAGAATATTTGTATTCATGGTTTATAGGTACTTTGTTACAGACAGGTGGTATTCCTACTAGATTGGGCCCCCCAGCAGAAGGCTCGAAAGAAAATACTGTCTTGGAGAAAGGACAAGTAAGGGAAACTAGAGAATTTGACGGCAAGACTTATTCGATGGAAAAAGCTATCAAGGGAGATGTCGCTATTCTCCGAGCGTGGAAAGTCGATGAAGCTGGAAACTGTCAATTTAGGTAATTTTTCTTGTCTCAATCCTGAAATCTCATGATATTAACAAACAATAGATACACTACCAGAACATTCGGACCCATCATGGCCAAAGCTGCTAAAGTTGCTATCGTTGAAGCCGAAGAGATCGTACCAATTGGATCAATTGCTCCAGCTGATGTCCATCTCCAAGGAATCTACATCGATCGTATTGTTCCAGCTACCGTTCCTAAGAAATTAGAATTAAAGAAGACTCGTGCACCAGAAGGTAAAGAAGATACGTCGAATAAATCAGATGCAACTATCAGAAGAGATAGAATTGCCAGGAGAACTGCAAAGGAGTTGAAGAATGGTTACTATGTTAATCTTGGTATTGGTACGTTTTTCTCCCGTGTTCTGAGTTGGGAGATTGGGTAATGGCTAACTTGGAATAGGTATTCCAACTCTCGCACCTTCTTTCTTGTCTCCTGAAACCAAGGTTTGGATTCAATCCGAAAATGGAATTTTGGGAATGGGTGCATATCCAACTGAAGAAGAAGTTGATCCGTAAGTCTTTTTCCGTCTTTCAAACATCAACAGTAAACTAATCTCCCCAAGCGATATCATCAACGCCGGTAAAGAAACCGTAACTCTCATCCCGGGTGCCTCTACCTTCGACAGTGCCGAATCCTTTGCTATGATCCGTGGTGGCCATATTGATGTCTCTGTTCTCGGAGCACTCCAAGTCGGTGCTAATGGTGATTTGGCCAATTATATGATTCCTGGAAAGGTGAGTTATTCCATTTATCCACACTTACCCCTCCATCTAAGTGTAGTCAAAACTAACAAGTCAAACCCACAGATCTTCAAAGGAATGGGCGGAGCAATGGATCTCGTCTCCAACCCCGACGAAACCAAAATCGTCGTCGCAACAGAACATGTCGCAAAAGATGGAAGCGCAAAGATTGTTCAGGACTGCAGTTTACCTTTGACTGGAGCAAAGGTCGTCAGCACTATTATTACTGATTTGGTAAGTTTCCCTCTCATTCTAAATTCCCTCTACGCTTCATCGACCCTTAGGATTTGGGGTTGATGGATTGGTTTATTGATCAAAACACTAACACCAAAATTCCTAGTGTGTATTCGAAGTCGACAGAATCAACGGCGGTCTCACATTAACCGAGTTGGCACCAGGTGTAGAAGTTGAGGAGGTTAGACAAAAGACTGATGCTAAGTTCGAGGTTGCAAGTGATATTAAGAGTATGGAGTAAGATGTGTATTGTGGATGAAAATGACAACAAGTTATGTAAAATCACGAATGTAAAATGTAAAAATGATTTTTGAAGTAATTTCACTTGATAAATCGTGTGAGTTTGCTTGAAAAAAAGCTGGAATTGAGATAAATGGTAAAGATACATATGCAATGAAGTTTTGAGTTCTTCTGATGTTCATAGAATGCAATACTGAAATTAATATCTCTATTCAAAGTGTGTCATGACAATCATGAGATCGAAGTGTTCATATTTGGAATCCATGCCATCCATGGTACCATCCGACCCATCATACCTCAAACATATCCTCACCCTCCCAAGTAACATAAATCGTAGATAACTCCGACCCATCAACCGTTCCCACTTGAAACAATTTAGACCTCGCATCTACCGACGCAAAAAACTCGTTCCCAATCCTTCGGATCGCGAACTCCAGCATTCTGAATCCCTTTCATATGCAAATCATCCGCTCTAAATCGAGTTAGCTAATGAATCTCTCTCAAGACATGGGCTAACCAAACAAACATACCTCTGTCTCCTCATCTGATAGAAGCTAATAAAGCCTATACTATACATCCTTAAGCTTTTACCACCTCAAATGTATTTTTGGCATTAATGCCCTATCCAACTACTAATTAAACCAGTAATACCCTCTCTCATATCCTTCCAAAGATACTCAACTAGTACCCAGCGATTTTGTCTCCATCTTGCAATATACAATCTTCCTAACCATTTCCTTTCTAAAACAGACTTGTGAATTGGGACTATAGGAGGACCTCCATTCATTAAAAACACTTTTCCTAATCGAAACTGAAATAGATCTGGGGCATCGGCCTCGGCTTGAAATATAATTAATTGATATTAACGTATAAATACATATGTATACATATGTATTTACAATGATATATATTATAATGATATATATATAATATATATCATTAACAATATTAAGAAAATCAATAAATCTTTAACTCGCCTCAAAAACACTATATATAAACTTTAATTCTTTATTATAGGTTATGCGCTTAGCAGGGGGTAGACTAGGCTCGATTAGGAATAGTACTATATAAATAGTACTCTATAAGAAGCTTAGACTTGTAGAATTTAAGAATAGAATTACTAAATAGAATTACTACAATATATAAATAGAATCTCAATTTAATTCGCATATTAATTGATATTACTTAATAAGTTTTTAAAAGTAAGTACTAGATGTTACGGGAGCTGCCTCTAGGGTCACGTGGAAGTGTCTAGAGTTCTCTTGAAGTGGTTTAAACTAAACTTTAAATAGGAATTCAACAAGGTTAATAATTGATTGTAATTCTTGTAATTATAGTAATAAAACTAATAATTGTTCTTGAGTATAAAGCTCTATATTGTAATGAAACCTATTCCCTTATATAGACCTTCGTACCTTATGAATCGACAAGTCGATTACTGTAAAGCCGATTTCAATAAGTCGGTTTCCTGATTATATGATGTCCATCCTGTAATTGGTAATAATGCTACTGCTTATCTAACCTGTGTTCTCTAACCGATTGTCCCTACAGCGCTGTTTCTGTAGGTCCCAACACCAAGGCCTT